AGCGCATCGTCGCAAGCGCCCGCCGCCGCGCTCCACGCCTCACCACCTTGCCGCCGCAGTTGCTCGCCGAGCTGCCGAGCCGCGCTCGCGCCACCCGCTCTCGGGCGATCGCCGGCCAGCCCCGCGACGACGATCATCTTCGACGCGCCTCGCCCGCGGCGCCGCGCGGCGCCGGGCTGCCGACGTCGGGAGGTCGCGCGACGAGGCGTTCGTACTGCGTGCGTCTCCGTGCGGCACTGTGCGGGAGCAGCGCGGGGGCGGCGCGCGCCCCGCTGCACGCAGACGCACGCGCCGAGACAGGTGCGGGCGGAGTGCGGCGAGCCTCCACCGCGAACGTTGACGTCGCCGGACGACCGAGGAAACGAACGTGCGCCGCAGCGCGCTGTACGCCTATAAAACAAAGGAAGTCCCGGCATACGTGCGCCGAAGCGGCGCGCCCTGCCGTAGCCTTGTCGTCGCGGCCGTTTCTTGCAGCACGGCGTTCACGTGGAGACGGTGATCTCGCGGGTGGGAGAAAGAACGTCGTTGATCGTCGGCGACGCCGCAGCGAAACACAAGAGCAGTTCGTTGCCGGCCAGGAACATAAGAGCCAGCTCGCGAAATGCAGATGAAGCAGGAAACAAAGAGCAGCTGTTTCGAACACCTAAGGCAGGAATCAAGGAAGGAAGCGAGCCGAGGGACACGGACCACACACCACGCACACACACAACACACACACAATCAAAACACCCACCAACCCAGACGCCACACCACCCACGAAGAAACCATAGCACCCAGCTGGAAGAACCATGCCACGGCCAACCGCGACAAGGAAAACATACCCAACGAGACCAGACCACTCACACCAGTAACGCAACGACAATGGCCCGCGACCCGAAAACATAGCCGCAACAGCTCACGGGACATGCCGGACAGACGTGGCGAAACAACAGCGTTAACCGCCGCCTACCCAGGTTAAGCACACACTCAGCAAATGCTCTGCGTCAACACCACAGACAAAGACAGAACAGGGACGTGGTGCCGGTAGGTGCACGTTTCATGGGTATCGTCGATGAGGAGCGTGGGACAGTCTATGCGTGGGCAGACAGTGCATCTACTATGCTGAATCGACATTACTAGAATTTATAAACTAGGCACTACTAAACTGGAACTACGTCAACTAGGTGGAATCAACATTAGTAGAAACTAGACAATACTATACTGGCACTATGTGGAATGTATATTACTAAACTGACACGATGTGGAATGTATATTACTAGACTGACACCATGTGGAATGTATATTACTAGACTGGCACCATGTGGAATGTATATTACTAGACTGGCACCATGTGGAATGTATATTACTATACTGGCACCATTTGGAATTGATGTTACTAGAAACTATACATTCCTAGACTGGTACCATGTAGAATGGATGTTACTAGAAACTATATATTACTAGACTGGCACTATGTGCAATGGATGTTACTAACTTACAAGATACTGGACATTACTAGATTGGCACCATGTGGAAATTAGATTGTTACTACTACTAGCAACTAAGCTTAAATAGAACAGGGCATGAAATTACCAAAATCAGGTGAAACAGGCCCATACCAAAATTTTAACCAGGCCCTTAGACAAATTGTTGAACAGGCCTTAATTTGTTCAATTTATTCCCCATTATCATAAAAGTATTAGCTTGTGTTTACTAGCATACTCATCAGCATTCAGAATTTTCATTGCCCCTATCAGTGGAGTCTCTACTTGTTATTGCTGGAACATGCCGGTGGTGGTCTAGTTAGTCCACTAAGTAAAAACTCAGAAAATTGGGTAGATTATTGGCCTTGATATAAAGCGCAGCATAGCAAGAATTGCAATAGGCAAGTGGACTGATTACTATGCCGGGGGTTGAACGCCGCGGTCTTAAGCCGGGTTGAACCACCGGCCGCCGGCAAAATACTACTAAATTCTACTTTCGCGCACTGCTAGAAGTTGTAAGAAGAACAATAGCGCGTAGTTGCAATGCAACTGCTTGGCGGCTAAAGGTGAACGTGTGGCGCCCCCTACCTGCGCGTGATTCAGCTCCTCAATGACGTCCTTGCGCTCCTTGCTGATGTCACACACGCAGACAAACTCCGCCTCCCGATGTCCGGCGAAGAACTTCTGCCGGATCTTCTGTACGATGGCCAGCGCGGAGCGCCCTCTAGGCACCTAGCCGACAAAAGAACGCACTCCGTTACCTGGCGACATCTATATGTGACTGAGAAAAACGTGGAAACCACTTCCCATTCGCACAGTCATCAATCAGCTTCAGGAAACCACGTATTGTACGTATTATACGTACGTAGATAGAGCCTGGTTTAACTCACCTGGCAGTTCTCAATGTCCCAGAAAACCCCAATAGGTGGCGCTTCTGCTGCAGCTCTGCATTTCGGAGGCGACTTGTCGAGCGCATCCCAGCAACTGGCTTGTTCGCAGCCCTGTGGGATGACACGAGTCTCCGAGGGCTGAAGCAACACAAGGCCAAGCTTAATCGCACATTCACTTACCGTCGTATATCCAATTAAACGTTCAGTGGAAAGCAAGGCATTCATTATTCACATGCATACACCACAAGCTTTCTTGATTAAATCCCGACTGCACAATAAGCAAAAGAGAGAAGCCTAATTGACTTCAGAATCAGCACTTGTCCTGAATAACAGCCAGAAATTCGTTTTCTAGAATCATCATACGGCTGTTGATCAGAGATAGAATGTACACTCTAGAAATCACCACGCAATAGATGGCCTCTAAATCGACATCAGAACTCTGCGACACCTCCTCTTAGGCCACCCTTAAAAAATTATTTGTTTCCCATTTACCGGGGTACCGAGTAGGTAGGTAGGTAAAAAATCTTTTTTATTTTGTTTTGACAAGATGTGTGTGTATGTATATTGTATATTCTGTTTTGTGTATATGTTTTTGCGGAACAAATTTGATTTTTTTTTTGGCGAAACGAAATAATTTTTGTTTTGTTTTAATCGGCCAATAAAATGTGTCGAGTAGTGGCGTTTTGGCAGGTCGGTCGGTAAATGGGAAAAAAGAAATATTTCATCTTAGGCCTTACCTTGTGTATGCTCAGACACAGTTGAAGCTGCTCGCCTGCCAACGTGACGACGTCCAGGCCAGCACTCGTCGTCACTGGGATGACCGTCGTCACGGGAACCGACTCATTGCGCTTTGGTGTCGTGTTCATGCTGCAGAGGTTAGGACGCGGTATTTTCTCACAGGCATGCTCCTCGTGCGGTCAACGCCCCTGCTGCTCCTAGTTTATGGAGACGACATGTAAAACAGCAGTCAACTATACTGTGTAAGCCATGTACTTATTGTGCATGGATATGGTACTATGAGTCATCATGACGGAGCGGAAACTTTGTGATGTGGCAGCAGGTGACTGGTAAGCTTCTTGTACCTACTTTAGTACAAACACAACTTGGTCTAAACTTGAACTTGACAGTCTGGTCAGATCTGGGTCACCCTGTCTACTCTACCGGCACGGCTAATAAACCTACAGAATAATTTTGATTTGAATCCCATGTGCTACTACTTAAGTGGTTCATGATAAGATTTTATGACTTACAGTGACACATGTCATTGACTACAAGACATTCAACTCTGACATCATATCTCTTTAAAATAATTATGACCAAATTTAAAATAGATGATATCCTTTACAGCACCAGAGAAACTAAGCATAGAAGCATTGTTTTATCTTAAGCCCGGCGCACACGCGAGTTATTTTACTCAAGTAAAATGACGCACGAGTAAAATTACTCAACGGAAATCCGCCGCACACGTGAGTAAAATAACTCATGCGTTAACTTATACTTGAGTAAAATAACTCATGTGTGCGCCAGGCATTACTAGCAAACTCGTCAAAATAACAACTGTGGTTTGTCACTGTTCTCCCAGTTCCTTCTCTTATGAGGGCTTCTCCAATAGAGGATAATTACTGGTGTTTCAGTAGTGGAGCAAAGAGCTACATTATGTAGTACATCTAGGTATCGCTCTAACCTGACCAGGCTGTGTGACTAACGTCAATATACATTCTAGTTTATAGACGTATTCTAACCCTAGCAATACCGTTTCTTGGAGCTAGGTATCGCTCTAGAACTATAGCCCTTCGCTTCGCTGCAAGGTGGAAGCGAAGCGGCGAAGGCGAAGCGGCACATCGAAGGGCTATAGTTCTAGAGCTAATATAGCTAGAGCTAGTTACATTTACATCAATTGGCACGACTAATGAAGATAATATTGCAACCAGTAGTGCACTGAAAACCATAATTTATTACAAACCAACAAGGAATAAAGCAAATATTTACATGCTGATAGTGATAATAAAAGAAATTTTGGTTAGCCTCCCCTAGTAAAAGACTCTCCATTTAGTTGTGGTACTCACTGGTAGTACTGTAAGTGTAAGCTTTAGCCTGCGCACAGACACGTGTAGGGTCATAATATATGAAGTATATTTAACCAGACAAATAACCCAATAAAGGTTGCAATGAATTACTTTACGCGTTTGCCACAAGCGGAAGCGGTGAAACAAGCGCAGCTGTTATGCTATGCTCACAGTATTAATACAAGAGGCAACACTGAACACACTTACACATAGTCCGCAAATGCAGACGTAAACTCCGCTTTGCTAATCTGAGGGTGCGGGTTTACCATTACTGGGGTCTGCGTCGGCTCGGACTAACTTACACAGTGAGCGATGTGGGATGGAGCTCAGGGATGGAGGTCCTCGACTCCTACCAATTTTAACCCCAATAAATTACCCAAAATAGATTAATTATAAGTAAAACGTCTATTTCTACAAAAAATATGTTGTACACTTTATACCAGCAGCTTATTAGCTGTGAGAAATTGGGCCTATATTATTTTAACGCGCGTGTGGAACGAGAGCGACACGAACTCACATACAAACGCCGCTCTAACTTGAGAATAAATAAAACTCATGTTCTTTTGTCTAAATGATGAAATAGAGGGCTCTCACAGAAACATGTCAGCGCCCGTGCAAAACTATTGCGTTTGCTCATTGTAGTCTATGAGTTTACGTATTTCCATAGTATTTCCTTGTTACACCATACAGAAATACATGGGTACTCAGTGCTTTTGTAAAGGTATAAGGACGTGCCTTGTTTGCGAAACGAGCAAAGAGGCACAGAGACCATGGGATGAGGTAAAGCAAAAATACCGTAATTAATAATATTTAATACGTTAATTATTGCTACGTACGTGTAGGATCAAATTCAATCTACAATCACCTCTGCTAATTGTGCAGTCACACTGCTGTTACCGTTTAATAGGGTTATAACACATAACCACTGGTTCATATTTAAACACAATGAAACTGAGTAAGTTAATCGTTGTCATTGACACAATTCTACTCTAGATCTATTCAATTGTTACTTAGGGCAGCAATTTTCACTAACCCGAGCATGAGCTGCATGTTGCATGTCCCATTACAGCAGGTAGTTGGTAATGTTGATTACCCATGCAGGATGTTTACATTATTTTATAAGGTATTCCTCATTAATTAAAATTTGTTTGCAGATTGAAGGAAAGCATTTCTTCTTATATTGTGATCACTGTAAAACTGCATGGAGTTCCAACTACAATGGATGTCATAAAGAGAGCATCAGTGGAACCACGCCAGTAAACCACTCTGGTTGGTACACCAATTTGTCAGGCATAATACTATTGCCAGAGTTCATCACAGAAGAAGAAGAAAGCTACCTTTTAGAAGAAATGGAGAAGCACGAGTGGGTTGAGTCGCAATCTGGTCGAAGAAAACAGGTATCACAATAACCATGTCCTTAATTATGCTAAGGTTTACATCCTTTAATATCACTTTATGCAAGCTTGCATACATGGCAAGAAGGCTGATAGACATTTACAAGTTACAGCTACATATGATCAAGAGCGTATAAAGAAGGAGAGCGTACAACGGTGAAAAGCTGAAACCATGTTGCAGTATTAGTCGAATTAAGAAACTTTGCCCATTTTATTTTGACGATTCTTTGCAGTATTATTGATCAGCTGTCCTACCTTGCTAATATAAAACAACCTGCATGTCCCTACAATGCTCCTACACTGAAATAATGAGAGGTGAAAATCTGGTATTTTCGCCGAAAATCGACTCGAGATCAGTGTTTACTGCGACTGTCTCTTGCTTTGTGGCCAGTGTATTGCTTCCAGTCGCCGCTGTGTAGCGCCATGGTAGCGCTGACTCACGTCAGTAATACAGAGTGTACTATACATCAGCGTGAGATGGGCACAGGTGGGGGTCATCACTATGGCAATCAATAACAGACGTCATTCATTCCATTTGTCAATCATTGACGGAAACACGCGAGGTTTCCCGAAGTTATCTCAAAGCGAGAGACAGTCACAATTAGCAGTGATCTCGAGTCGGTTTTCGGCAAAAATACCAGATTTTCACCGCTCATTATCTCAGCGTAGGGGCATCGTAGGCACATGCGGTTTGTTTTATATTAACAAGGTAGGGCAGCTGATCAATAATACTGCAAAGAATCGTCAAAATAAAATGGGGAAAGCTTATTAATTTGACTAATACTGCAGCATGGTTTCAGCATTTCACCGTTGTACGCTCTCCTTCTTTATACGCTCTTGATATGATTTACCCTGATCTGTGCAGAATCTGGTGGTGATGGATTTAGCTAGGTCAATCAATTACTTCCGCAGGGGAGCAATATCAAACTGCTGTATTGAATAATGATCAGATTTTGTACTCAAGTAAAATTTCATTTGGTTGCTGCTCACACTACTGTGAAATGCTCAATGTAATCATGGGTAAATTAATGTCCATTGGCATGGACTGATGTCTATAAGGTCACCTTACTTTCCAAGATTCATGTTGGCATATATATACAGTATACCACACATCACTAAGTATAACCGCCTGTCACGCGCAAACTTTTTCCCATTACCTACAGTTAATATGGTACATAATCATTTTTACTGTTAGTTTGATGTTAGTTTGCAGCTTAGCTCTCCTGTTGTTTGCTGTAACCATCGTTGTCGTCCATGTCTAAACGCATTCGGCTCGACCTGCAACCGCTCCCCCCCCCCTTTCAGGATTTCGGACCGAAGACGAACTTCAAGAAGAAGAAGGTGCGTCTGTCGACGTTCACTGGGCTTCCGGCATACAGCCGTGAGCTCGTGAGGCGTCTGCAGCGCGTCGACGCGCTCGCGGGGTTCCTTGCCGTCGAGCAGTGCAACCTCGAGTACACGCCCGAGCGCGGCTCGGCGATCGACCCGCACTTCGATGACTTCTGGCTGTGGGGCGAGCGGCTCGTGTCGGTCAACCTGGTGTCGGACACCGTCATGGCGTTCCTGCCCGACAAGTCGCAGCTGCTGCGCGTTCCCGTCGCGTTTGCCGATGGTGGTGGTGCTTGTGACGGCGCGTCCTCGGGTGACGGTGCATCCTTGGGTGACAGAGCGCATGACGGTGCATGTGACGGCGCATGCTCGGGTGACAGCATGCGTGAAGGTGTGTCATCATGCGACAGAGCGTGTGACGGCGCATCCTTCGGTGACGGCGCGTCCTGTGGCAACTGTGCGTATGGCGGCGCGTGTGACGGTGCATCCTTGGGTGACAGAGCGCATGACGGTGCATGTGACGGCGCATGCTCGGGTGACAGCATGCGTGAAGGTGTGTCATCATGCGACAGAGCGTGTGACGGCGCATCCTTGGGTGACGGCGCGTCCTGTGGCAACTGTGCGTATGGCGGCGCGTGTGACAGTGCGTCCTTGGGTGACAGAGCGCGTGACTGTGCATCCCCGGGTGACGGCGCATGTGATGACGCATCCTCGGGTGACAGCGAGGTGTGTCGTTCCCACGACGATGAACGCAGAGTCGCCGCGTCCGCTCCCACCGATCTGAGGACCGTTGTCAAGGAACACGAAAGTAATGGTGAACAAAACATATCGAGCTCGCCAGACGCCTCGAACGTCGACGCAGTGAACGCTCAAGAAAACGCCCCGAGTTTGCCAGACGCCGCCCCGATCGTCGACGCAGTGAACGCTCAAGGGGGCATCTCGCGGAAATCTCGAATTGCGAAAATAGCGCGCAATGGCTCGTGCACATGCGTCGATGCTGCTGGGGACGGCAGAAAGCGCCAAGCGGCCGGCGCGAACTCCGACCTCTCGCCGGAGTTCGCCGGGCGGACGCCGACGCTGCCGTGTGCGAGCGTTGAGGTACACGTGCTGCTGCCGAGGAGGTCGGTGCTCGTGATGGCGGGCGCGGCTCGGTCGGCGTGGAAGCACTGCATACACCGTCGCGACGTCACGCGCCGCCGCGTCGCCATCACCCTGCGCGAGCTGTCTCGCGAGTTCAAGCCCGGGGGTCGCGAGGCCGACCTCGGCGCTCGTCTCGAGACGCTGGCTCAGAGTTTCGCCGGGTCCGTCGTCAGGTGACCTCCCCCGTGCGCGTGCGTGGTTGCGTCGACCCCATGTTCTATGTTCGGTTACATTGTTCCTTATATCGATCGATGTTTAAATAACGATAGACCGATTATATCAATATTATGATCGAGTTAGCAGTTACTGTCTTTCTTGTCAGATGGTTCGAGTGATCAGTCGGTGATGGGATTTAGAAAAGCCAAAATGTCAAATGAATGCAATAACAGTATATTATATATTTAATAAACATTTATTCCCATGCATTCCATCCCTGTAATATAATTGTAATTTGTAATCTCCAGAGAGTAAATATCATTAATATTATAATTTTGAATTATCTTCATTACTTCTGAAATAATAGAAACCATTTGTTGCCACATGTTCCCTATCAGAATGCTTTATATTGTGATCTCTCTAGGGACAGATTTGATCTCTATGAGTTTGAGGTATACACAGGTGATAGAAGTATTTTAAGTTGAAAACCCTTGTTCACGACATCTTGTGTGCCACGTTATACATAAGCAAATGCACATTTCACAAACAGTGTGGAAACACTTTTCACCATGATGTTTAGTTACGTTGATACATTGCCGTCTTGCAAAAAAAAAACTGAGCAAAACTTGAGTAAATGCCTAAAAATCTCACGTGTTTTGTAGGCAACTAATAACACCGACAACATCACTCTTTCCCTTTCATGATATCATTATAATAAAAATTACATACAGCTAATAACAAGTTTGTGAGACCATCTTCCCCATTCAACAAGGTTGTGTTTCACGATATAGTCATGTAATGCCGCAACAAGTTTTACAAAGAAGCGTACATTCTATATTAATATGTTGTAATGACCAAAATTTCTATTATACACAAGGCGGATTCTCTAAACAATAAAGCAACATACAGCCAATGCTCATCCGTTAGGAGCGTGTTACTTCCCTTATGTATTACCATAATACGCGTTCGTACATTTTCTGCACGGATTCTTAAATAGGGATATAGGCTATATTCCAAGAGTAGAAAATAGCTAAATGTTGTCTATCGGCTACTCTTGGGAGTTTGGATAAGATCATGATACACGCACACTCGCACACACACACACACACACACACACACACACACACACACACACACTACTGTACTACATCACACATTGCCACAGAAGTTAACACACCGACACTGGCCTGCGAATGACATTGGGAGCATTTTTTTTAGTAGTATACAAATAAAAAAACCCAACCCTGCAGTAATGTTACTTGCTCATAGACAGAACCCAATCTATCTTCTAAACCTAGGTAGGAGACACACGGAAGTTTTGCACGTTATCGCACGCGTACACGCATCGCTCGAGCAAGCAGAACAATGGGCGCAAAATTTGCAAACAACAAACGCAACGCTGATTCGATCGCAAACCAGCGAGTCTCCGCAGGTCACCAGAGGTCACGCGACTCTCCCAAAGTCGCCCGTAGACCGACGTGCTGCGTCAGCATATCCAAAATATTTATTTATTTTTCCGTTATATCCAACCAAGCACACCCCCCTCCCCTAAATACACACACACACACACGCACACACGAGTAAACATGAAACGCGGCATCTCTCCTCGACCTCCAGGAGCGGTGGCATCGAAGCCACACCATCTCCGCGAGATCTTCGGCGACGTCCCGTCATCGGTGGGAGGGCGCGGCGACCTCGCGCGACCTGACCCGACCCGACCTCCCTAGTCGTCATCGGACAGTGGTTCGTACTGCGAGCCGACGACCGAGTTGCCGTCGACAGCGGGCGTTGTCGTCGGCGAGCCGTCGCGGCGAGCCCGAGCACCGAGGGGCGCCGGGTCGCTGCGAGGCGCTGCTTGGCGGTTGGCCGCGGAGCGGCGTCACGCCGTACCCGCTGTGTAGCGATCGACGACGGGAGGACGAGTAGGGCGTCGACATGACGCCGTGCTTGCTCGTCACGCCTCACATCCTCTCCACACACACGGGGCGTGGCGCCACGCTGACTCGCGCGCCGCAGCCTGTAACCGATGACAACGCAGCATCGTCGATGAGCGGGGTTGGAGTGCGCGCGGGCGCAGACGCGGGGGGGGCGAAACTCGTTGTTTTCGGGACGTTTTGCGGCGCAAGAAAGAGAACGAGAAACGAAAAACTAGGATTCCTTTTACCTCGAGTTCAAGATTTCAGTTGAATAAGATCTTTGTCGTCTAACGTGACACCGTAATTCGGTCATTAGTGAATGAATTCTTACATGCAGCACGTGGTTTATTGCTTCTCAGGCACGATAAACATGCATTAATCACTCATCAAACACGCTCAATTTCTGGGAAATGCCTGGGACCACATATAGCTTGTTTTCCAGCACGTTCCATATGTTGAAATTAACATTCTAAAATTGCTATTACTGGACGCCCCACGAATCCTCTCATGGGGTCGCGGTGATGAAATATGATAATCAAATCTATTTTGGGGTAGACAAGTGGATGTGCATCACGTAGAGACTGCTCATGGTTCTATGCCACACTATTTAACCACTTCCCCTGTGCTGACAATAGCTGCTGTGAAGCGCAGGCCAACTGATCACACACACTGCTTGCAACAACGCAAACTTGTTAGTGCACGGATAAGCTGCGCCGCCCTTTTTAACAATTTCCCGGCCCTGCCTGTTTACCTGAGGTTGAAGCAGAGCTGTGGTAGTGTCCCAGGGTAATGTTGGACGGCTGTGGCTGACTGCTGTTTGGTTGTCCCATCGGTGCGCCGCCGAAACGGGGCTGGTAGCCCTGCCCCTGCACCCCGGTGTGTTGCTGGGATGTCGAAATGCTGCAAGAGACCATTCAAATTGACAAGCGACTCTTCGACCACAGTCCTTCATATTAATTTCAACTTACAAACATAAACGTTTGCTTTTTTCTCTCCAAATAGTACAACGATGCTGCACATGAATGCATCATGAACCATCCTGGTCAGAAACGTGATCCGTCAGAAGTGAGTTGATATTCGTTTGGAGGCAGATCAAGATCAAGTGATCCTAACCAGATAGACTCATTCCAAACAACCAGGGCCTTACTTAGCGGAGTTGGAGTCGTCGCCGGACGATATCGGGTCGACCTTGCAGCTGCTGCTCCCTATATCGCTATTCGGTCCCTCGTCGATGACCATGTCCCCCGAGCCGGGGCTGTCTGCATCGCCGGTCTGCGACACCTCACCTTCGGCTGCCGCGGCGTGGCTCGAAGGCTTCCCCGCAGTCGAGCTCTCCGCCGCACCGACACCTGGTGGAGGAAAGGTTCGACAAGGTTAAATCCTTCCCGCGCCTATGTGGCACATAGGGCGGTGCCTATCTCCGTTTCAGTAACCCTGAGGCCCCACAGCTGCTTTCACAG